GGGGTCAGTGCCCCAGGTATCCCCTAACCCCTTCAGGACCCTCCCCAACCTTCTGCCCCTGGGACGCCACTCTAGAGACCCCTCTGGGACTCACAAACCCACCCCAGGGACCCCCAAACCCCTCTGGGACCCTCCCCAGGGACCCCCGAATCCACCCCAGAGACCCCCAAACCGACCCCCTTGGGAACCCCAAAGAGACCCCAGGGATCCCCAAACCGACACCCCTGGGATCACCCCAGGACCCCCAAACCCACACCTGGAGCCTCCAAACTGTCCCCCAACACCCCCAAACTGATCCCCCAGGGACCCCCCCTAAAGCGCCCCCAGACCATCCCCCTGGTCCCCCAAATTCCCTCCCCAGGGCCCCCCAGCTCGCACCTGCGGGGAGAACACGCGCAGCAGTCGGTTCACGGGGGCTCCCTCGTGGTCCCCATCGAACTCCAGCCACAGCTGGGGGGGCTCCGCGGGGTCCCCCTCCTCCCCCGCGGGGTCCCCGTCCTGCCCCACGGCGCCCACCAGCTCCCAGCACAGCTCGGGGTACGTCAGGGACAGCAGCACGTGCTGGGGGGCACGGGGGGGTCACCCGCAGAGCCCCCCTGACCCCCATCCCGCCCCCCCCCCAGGTACAGCTCCCAGGTGGAGGGGATCCCGTGGGGGTCGCGTGGGAGGGTCTCAGGTGGGGGGAGTGGCTCCCAGGGGGAGGGGATCCCGTGGGTGGTCGCGTTAGAGGGTCCCAGGTTGGGGGGTGGTCCTGGGTGGGGTCCCAAAGGGAGTCCCAGGGGTGGGGGTCTCATGGGCGGGGGTCCCGCGGGCAGGGTCCGGCCGGTGCTGACCGCAGGCTGAGCTCCGTGTGCCGGCCGGGCTCGAAGGGCCCCAGGCGCAGGCGGCAGCTGAGCCCCCCCAGCTCGGCCGCCTCGGGGGGGTCCACGGGGTAGCGCCCCCCCCTCAGCTGCTCCCGCGCCTCCTCATAGAGCAAGCGGAGCAGCTCCTCCTCCTGCAGCTGGAGCCACAGACACCCCCAGGTCACCCAGAGAGACCCCTGAACCACGCAGACCCCACCCTGCGCCCCCCGTGTCCCCCTCCCCTGGACCCCCCCGTGCCCCCCTCACCTCCAGCTCGCGGCTCTTCGGGAAGAACACGTTCCTGCGCAGCTGCAGACACGGCTCATCTGGGGGGGCAGGGGGTCAGTGGGACCCCCGAGGGGACCCCGAAGGGTCCCCCCCGAGCCCCCAGCTCTCACCTTGGGCGATGGCCGCGGGCGAGGCGAGGCTGAAGCGCAGCAGCAGCTCCGGCCAGTGCCGGACCAGGCGCAGGGGTCGGTGCCGCGGCTTCAGCTGCACCTCTGGGGGGGGGACACAGGGCTGGCACCCCTTGGGGACCCGCGGAGACCCCCAGGGCCACAGGGACACCCCCCCCCGCCACCCTCCAGGGGGATCCTCCCGTCTCCCTGTCCCTCATGGGACCCTCCAATGTCCCCTCCTCAGGGAGCAGCTCCGCTCACAACCGAGCTGTGACACCACGACCCCGCCGTGTCCCCATGGTCCCACTTCCCCTCTGTGTCCCCCTGTCCCCCCATGTCCC